TAGTCACGCAGATATGGGTTTTTAAGCCCTTTTCTGTATGGCAATCAGTCTTTCCTCCCTACTCCGACAGCTGTCGAGAATATGGGAACACCGAAAGCTTCATGAGAGGCTATGATACTTACATCGACGATGAAAGCAGTTTAACCAGCAGGGTTTCCAAGTAGGGTCCTTGAAAGATTCTTATGTGTTATAGCGACCTACTTAAATGTTTTGAGTAGGTTATATTACCCATAATCTTCCAATTTTCAACACGCCATCCGTCGTTCCGGCAGGAATTCGATGATGGCATTCAACTGCAGAACAGTGCTGCGAAGGTCACAACACACCATAACCGCTGAAGTCAGTATACTAAGCCAAAGTTGCCTTTTTAATTAAGTGCGGGAATAACTGCTTACTTGCACATTTTAAGTAGGGTGATTTCCACAATGTTTCCCACTTTTGTACTTCTTTAACCTATTTTCTAGTTGGTGTTGGTGGTTCCACTAGAAAATGTACCTCAATGACCTCGCTCGAGGTTAGGACACACTCCCCCTTCATACACACGTTCGCCGTTTACCGGGCAGGGGGGTAGCGATGATATTAAAGCCTATTTCAGTGTCTTCTCCCAAGGTTTGAGTACGCGACTCAACTTGTCCCCGAACTTTTTTATTTTACAGAAATATTGCCCCTTCCGTCCTCTCCCCTAAAAGCAGGTGCCCGTGAGCCTGAGGGGCGCGCTTTACACGTTTATTAGGCGGCCCCATAAGGAATCCCTACCGTTAAACCTATCAGATTCCAAAATGTGCTCTTGTCGATGTGTTTTGTGATTGTATAAAGCCGTCCATCACAAGTTCCCGCAGTCTGTTGCCTGGCGGCCACCTAGAGGAAGTCAACCTTGACTTGTGTTAGGGTGGCATAGTGGCCATATACAGGGAGAGCTAAGACCACGCCGCCCGCTTAGGCGAGAGACACCTTCCCGTAATACCCATCACTAGGACGGAATTTGACCTTACTCTAGGGTACCAGTCTTTGTCCACAAACTCTGCCGCATGATAATCAGAGGCCGTACGCTATTTCGGGTGACCGTGTTATACTTGTTTGCCTTCTGTAGTCAGATATATCCAAGCCCTGTCGGATAAGAGCTGGAGATTCATTTGTAGTCTTAACACTTGCACTTCTCCTGCCATCTAGTCTTCGGCTGCCCTTTCCCATTTAAAAAATGAAACCACCTAAGATGCAGTATCCGAAAAAAAACTCAAAAGCGAATTGACGTGTGTAAGGTGATACCAATTGGTCCATAACTTAACATTTAACGGGCGTATGCATCATGATAGATCTAAACCTGTAAGTACTAACAGTTTTTTCCCATTAAGTCGGAAACGAGAACTAGTCCGCCGCTTCACGAACCGAGCTAGGAGAATACGTTCTCCAGGGACACTGGAGGACGAACTCGCATTAATTCAAAACACACTGCAAGAAAATAGCTTTCCCAAGACGGTTATCCATAAAGTTAAGGAAGAACGTCCGCGAAAATCTTAAGTGCCCACGAATGAGAAGAAAATCGTATTTTTTACATTACCTTTGAAGGGGATCCAGCAAGCGAACTTCTACGGCTTCACTTGAACGCTGCAATCGAGCGTACGTATCTAGAAGCTAACTTTAGTATTCTCAAGCACTCCAGTTCTTCCCCTGAATGTAAGGATAGACTCCCACTCCAGACCTTTTAAATGTGTATATACAACCTTACATACTCCTGCGGGGCAGGTTATATTGGTCGAACAAGTAGGCGGCTGTCCAAGTGCATGCAAGGACACCATCCTGCTTGGCTAAAGAGAAGCGAGGTAAGGTCAATATAAAGCGCGATTTTGACTCCCTTAGTTGACAGTAGTCGTCGGGTAGATGTGAACGAAGCGTTTCGAGTCATGCATAAAGTTCCTGCGTCAGCAGATATTTGCGACGGCAGTCGCCATGCGCCTCACGAAGCCAATCCTATGTGCGCAGATGGCGTTTGTAGCAGCCCTAAGGCTCCCGTAGCCGAAGGCCAA